TGTGGGGGCGCAAGGCGATAGACCCCCCCCCCCCCATCCCCACCCCTCGTTTCCATAGGAGCGCTCCACAGCAACAATATAAGAAGATGGACAGTCAGCCAATCTACGCAAATTGCGTCAGTGCCTCTCCTTGGAACAACAATTTTTGCCAAAATAATGTTTTAGGCTCACACAGCACTGTACATTGTTCAATGGTACATTGTCAAGTCATTGTAGGGTTACACAATGGTAAGCTGCTATGACATCACTCATTTACTGTATATACGAGGACAAGGACTTGGTCCCTTGCTCTGAACTATAAAACTAGCTCCTCAGCCCTTCACAGAACTGCTGAGACGGGACCCTGCCACCTCAGATGTGTCAAACGCGCCACGTGAGTCATGCGGTCACTGCACACCATTTGTGAAGTTTATACAGTATCTGAATAATGATGTTTTATGTGTGTGGCATAAAATACAGTTTGCAAACTCACGTTTTGAGATACGAGCCATCTTTTGGTGGGTTATTTTGCTTTGATTTGCGAGCAAAAATTCAAGATAGGTGCACTGTATGGTGGCAGTTAACATCAAGCAGAACTAAACCCAAGCTGTCAAAACTTTTTTTTTCCAATTTAAATATGAATACCGTCTTTATCTGACAGAGCTTATTTAAATATCCTAAGTTTACTGAGTATTTATTATTAAAATTTTTTTACAATATTGCATCTATTCACTTATGCGGGCAGCCATTTTAAGGTCTCTTTTGTTTTGTCAGAGTGTGAATTTGGGATAATATGACATGTCTCAGCCCTTCCCTGCTTGAACCAGACCTGGTAAATACTCAGCAACAACACACTACATATGGGTCAGATCCACTTACAGATATCTAGATAGCTAATGACAGAAACGCAAGTTGGCGAACTCAAAATGGCTGTTCTTGTTGGTATCATACCTGACTGCAGTCAGGTCAGCCTCCTCACAAGGATGGTCACAGAATATAAATTTATATACTTTGAAGTGTGCCAAGAAAGCAGACTATACCTTCACAAACCATTAAAAAAAAACACTAAATCACCGTCTTGTGCAATAGTATGGGTCAGGTGCTGAATTCTCCCTCGACTCCATGCAAAGACACGCACTTTAAGTATGGATCCCTAACCTCGAGCTGCCCTAATCCGTTTGATGGTGGTGGGATGAGACCAGATTCATGAGCATGGGGTCATCCGGACAAGTAGGTCTGAACGAGGAAAATCAATGAGCTTCTGCAGTACATCTCAGCAAAGAGTTAACAGATTCATTGTAGTGAGAGGACATTAAAGACATGGATCCCAGTGCAGCATCAATGCACTAAAAATAGAAGCATGCAGCAAAATGGACTGATGCTATTTACAGAGCTTCACTTCTGAGGTCCATACATCTATGTGTGTGCGTGTGCGTGTGTGTGTGTGTGTGTGTGTGTATAAAAACTTCAATGTGACAGAATCCCCCCCTCACCACTTCTCCTGAAAGCTCCTGAGCAGCACTTGTCCTTGACGTTTCAGTATTCAGCTCCACACTATTAAAGGACATTTGGGGGGACATCAAATAGGCCTTTGTGTGGCCCACTTCAGCCTCCACAGATTGTACTTTATTAATCTTTTATCGACCTCTCGGTTCAGGCGCTTTGCATGCAAAACAGCCCCCACCATTTGAGAAATACCGTATGCATCCGTTGATCTCCGTGGCAGCCAAAAACCTTAGTGGGGATTTGCCACGGGCACACTGTAAATCACATCAAATTTAAATGCCTGACAAGAAGGCGACGTCGCCCGCTGAAAAGCTGCCACATTAGCACTAAGTTAATCATACACCAGGGTAGCTCATTTCTTACCGTTTTGCGAGGAGACGGTGTGCACCATCAGGACTCCGAATATCAGCGCCGGGAGGGACATGGTTTCGGCTCGGCGTTTTCCAAGTATCATCTTCGGCGAAGGAAAATGCCGGTGCGTGAGCGTTAAGGTGACCCGCGCGATATATGATGGCGCGAGGAGGAGGAATCACCAAGGAGGCTCGCACCTCCACACGCTCCAGTGGGAAGAGGGAAGTGACGCCGGGTGGTTCGACTAGTGGGAGCCTTCAGTATTACCGCTGACGACCTGCTCCGTGGCGTCTCCCTCCTTCTGCAGCAAAGAAACACCTTGCAGCTACGCCGTTTTATCTCAAATCTCGCGAGATCTCAAAGGTGCGGGATTCAATTTAGCTCGGCAATGTTTTAGCTAATTAACCTACCATCTAATTTCACAAAGATTGAATACGAGGTGCCATTCGTTGTGCTAATTAAACTGTTTGCTGTTTTAGCAGTTTTGAGACAGTATAAACAATTTACCTTTTTAAAGGTAATAGTCCATCGACCCCTTCTACCTTTATATCAGAAGACTGAGAAGATCAAGAGGGAAAAAAATGGAAAACTAACTGCTCACGTTTAATATAAAACAATACATCTTTATTTATATCACGCTTTGACAACAGCTGCAGCTGTAACAAAGAGCCTCCGACAGACAATATTAAACATGAAATAACAATATTACAACTGAACACATGTTAAAGAGAAGTTATAGTTTTTGTAGTCACAGCACAATGTTAGATTTTACAAAAACTGTGAATTTTGCAGCATCACTATTTGCAACATTACAACTAGTTTTTAGGCATTTTTTTTCCCCACAGCGCATCTTTTTCCCCCCAACCACTTCATGCTCTTGGTAGAAACCTACAAAATACCTGCAGAGACGCAGAAGCTTTTGGCTACCGCTACCGTAGTGTATGCTGCAGATTATGCAGAAAGAAAACTAAAAACATCAATGAGCAGAAGCCATACACCATGGGCAAAATTTCCTGTTTCCAGTTGTGTCACTTCATCCAGTGAAACAGTTGCTGCAGTTGTAACAAAGCGCTTCACAGAACCTAAGAAAAGACTGATCTAAAACATTTGAGATTTCCACCTTACACGAGTGAACGATCGAGATGACGGTTGCACGCTGTAACTCCATTAAAACTCTAAAACTTCCTTCCGACTTTAAGTTTTTAGTCTGAAATTGAAAAATTGTGAGCCGTAAGCAAAAGAATGTGGTGGAAGAAATTTGTCCTGCTTCATCAGGACAGGTGTTCATAAACTATATGTATTAACAACCTCTACATATTACATTTCTTTTTCAACAAAGATAACATTGAATTAATTGGAACAACAGTCTAGCATATGTACGGGTAGAATTTGCGCAAGTATGGTGGAGTTGTCCCTATAATTCAGGGGGAGGGAACTCCGGTTCCTCGAGAGCCATATCTTGCCTGTTTTAGATCCCTCTTGACTTCAACACAGCTGATTCGAATGATCAGTTCATCAGCAAGCTCTGTAGAGGCCTAAAACGATCATGAACAATGAATGAATCAGGTGTGTTGGAGTAGGGAGGGAATCGAAAACAGGCCGGATATGGCTCTCAAGGAACCAGAGTTCCCTACCCCTGCTATAATTGAAGCACTGCCAGTGCCATTTGTAAAGATGTCTGGTTTAATTACTGTGCTTTAGGTCAACTTCTCAGGTCAACTAAGCCTCAACAGCGCCAGTATCTTAAATAGAGGTTTAATCCTATTTCCCTCGGAACAGATATCAAGCGCCCAGTAGACTGCGTAAAAGTGTGGCCATAGCTCTTACGGAAAAATAAAGTTATTGCATATGAATCATTGCTTTTTTTATGGATATCAGTGGACAATGCCATCACTGAGTCCAAAGTTGTAGCCCCGTGCTTTGTCAAAAATTAATCTTTGAAGATGCAGTGACAAGGGTATATAATTAATCAAATTGTCTTGTCCAGTATGCAGTTTTGAAAGTGCAGGGCACAATCCATTCTGGGATGGTCAGTAACCTCCAATTTGTTTGTATGGTAGTTAGAATCAATTCATCGTGAAGGAAATGGTGGAAATAGAAATGATCCGTTTCAGACTCAAAACTGTTGCTATCATCAACTCTTTATTACCTTTTAAGACAATATAATTAGTCTAATAGCATGGCTACTGAAAATGAATTTGAGCATTTTCCAAATTTCAAGAAAAAAAAATCTTAGCAAACACATTAGTATTGTTATCGATTTGGTCATGGAAAGTTAAAAATGACATGGGCTTTCTTGAGAAAAGTATTTTCCAATACACAACACATACATGTCAATCCCTGGCTGAGATATAACTCAAATATAGTGAATTAAAAAAAATGTGAGGAGCATCGAGAATAACGGGATAAATAGTTAATCGCTAAAAGTTAATAAAAATGAATGTCATGGTGAGAATTTTTCAAATTTGCTCTTGTCTCATTTTGGAAACATTTTACTTTTTCATTCAAGCAATCTTCAACAACAATTAAAGTAACTGAATTCATCCAGTTGGCTCTTGAAAGTCAGTGTCTTTAAAAGTAATGCGACATTATCTTAAAGCGATAGCTGAAGAAAAAAAGATTATTCGCGTTTCTTTTTTTTCTCATGAAAACATATTCTGCACATCAATCTTAAAACGAAAAGGCAGGTGAACACGAGAAGCAAAATTACTGTTAGCAAAGCTACAATGACATCAATCGAGTGGTAAACAACCGAGGACATTTTGTTGGACTGTGCCTTCAAATGCTCAGCTCCTTTATGCCTTATAACATATTCGATCCAAAACACTGCCTGCTCCATCGGTGTGATTGGCTGATCCCGTTGCAGCCGTGAGAGCCTTTGCATGTTTTCCCTGTAGGATGAGTTGTGAAGAACTGTCACGAGTGCCTCCTCAAAGATGTGCCTGTCCACCGTGGCGATATCGACATTTACTGCTGCTCCCCTTCCTCGTATCCTGTTGAGATTATCGTGCTGATCCAAAAATAATGGAAGTCCTACGATTGGAATGCCATAGTAAATTGCTTCTTGAATGCCGTTGTTGCCGCCGTGACAGACAAATACTCTTGTTTTAGGATGCGCCAAGAGGTCATTCTGTGGTAGCCAGTCAACCAGTAAAGTGTTGTTGCCCAGGTTGGCTGGCTTTTGTCCCACATACCGCCAGATGACTTTCTGAGGTAGCTGTGCAAAAGCTGCAGCAATTTCTTCGGTGACATCTTGCGGAAGCTTTGCGATAAGAGTGCCCAAGGTCATCATCACAACGCCGTGATCTCCAGAACTCTGGACAAACTCCTCGAGATCCACAGGGAGCTGCTTTGGAGGCTTACACTGAAATCCACCCATGTAGACGATATTCGGCATCGTGGGTCGGGGAAATTCAAAGACAAAATCGTTTCTCAAAAGCCACATATCAGCATCCACAAAAAATGTCGTATAATCCACATCAGGACCAAAGTAGCGCCTCACTATCGGTTTGTAGTGACGTTCTGAAATGTACAACCTTGTCAAGCCACTCACGATGTAGGATACAACATTCAAGATTCTTTGAGGGAAAGTCATCTTATCTGTCAACTGGGCTGTGAGATGGGGTGTATACGACAGAGGGGATGGGGCAATGAGGTCATGAGCTTCACCTAGGAAAGTCCATCTGGCATTGTAAATGAGGGGAACGTTGAGATGGCGTGCAAGCAGTGCCCCTCCACCTATGGTGGGATCAGTCAACACGACGTCGTACTTGGCGTTATGAAATGACTGCATCTGAGTTTCATTTTCGAACATCTGAACTACTGTCTTACAATGCTGCTCGTAGAATAAAGAAAATTGAGTTATAAGCGAGAACCGAATCTGAATGTTATTCCAAATGCGAGGCAGAAGAGATAGACCCCTCCCCTGAAGTCTCATTTCCACTTGTTGAAACACAAATGATTCATAATGGTCCTTAAAGCCATCCTGACCATCGAGGGTGACAGAGTTGTAATGAGGAGACTTTTCTGGAATGTACCAGCTATCGGATGGCCGCGCCACTGTGACCTTGTGGCCTTTGGCGTGAAGTTCCTCGATCACTCCATTCATGTTTAACCAGTGGCTGCCGTCTAAAGGGTACACCAATATTTTGCCTCCAAATACACACGGAAGTTGAATCAACAGCAGAGTAAAGGTGATCATGTCCGACTTTGTCATTGTGATGCCCATGAGAGACCTTGAAAAAATATGAAAACAAGGAAACGAACTACTGTTAGTTTGGTTGGCACATTCATGTTCAAAAACCCTGCAACAATATTCAAACATATTTATAAATTATTTTCTTTGCCCTTCTATGTATCTGTCAATTCCTTCATCATAGAATTACTGGTACATGGACATAAAAAAAATTATGGTTACCGGTAACTTATTTTGAAATCAGAGGTCAAGGATAATTGTTCAAGTGACTGTAAAAACAGGGTTGGAAACAAAATCTATGGTTGCAATATCCCAAGACTGTTTAAATGATTACATATGACAATTGGAAGTTTTGGTCCAGATTTTAGCAAGAATCATGCAAGTGGTGTGTCGAATCTGGCACCCGAGCCTTGCATTTAGACTCTAAAGCATGTGTTTAATGCATCAGTTTTTAGTTTAGAAATTTAAGTAATGAAATGTGGGAAGCTTTCTATTATTTTTATATTAATTGAGATATATTTATATATGTATAGCATAGTTTACATTGTATTTTCAATTAAAAAGAAAAAGACTTACCCAAGGTCATGTATGTCAGAGGGTAATCCTTGGAAGCAGCCTTCGATAATTTTGATTTTTTAAAGCCAGGTGTTTTGTTTGCAAAACCAAAGTAGCTGGGACGGGCTCAGCACCAGTCAGCATGCATGACGTTTGGTGACTGAACTATGCCCAGGCCAAGGGAAACAATATTCAAACATATTTATAAATTATTTTCTTTGCCCTTCTATGTATCTGTCAATTCCTTCATCATAGAATTACTGGTACATGGACATAAAAAAAATTATGGTTACCGGTAACTTATTTTGAAATCAGAGGTCAAGGATAATTGCTCAAGTGACTGTAAAAAGAGGGTTGGAAACAAAATCTATGCTTGCAATATCTCAAGACTGTTTAAATGATTACATATTACAATTAGAAGTTTTGGTCCAGATTTTAGCAAGAATCATGCAAGTGGTGTGTTGAATCTGGCACCCGAGCCTTGCATTTAGACTCTAAAGCATGTGTATAATGCATCAGTTTTTAGTTTATAAATTTAAGTAATGAAATGTGGGAAGCTTTCTATTATTTTTATATTAATTGAGATATATTTATATATGTACAGCATAGTTTACATTGTATTTTCAATTAAAAAGAAAAAGACTTACCCAAGGTCATGTATGTCAGAGGGTAATCCTTGGAAGCAGCCTTCGATAATTTTGATTTGTAAAGCCAGGTGTTTTGTTTGCAAAAGCAAAGTAACTGGAACGGGCTCAGCACCAGTCAGCATGCATGACGTTTGGTGACTGAACTATGCCCAGGCCAAGGGAAAACTCGCGCACTCGCACACAAGCAACCTGGGGGCGGGGCGACTTTGTTTTTGCTCAAAGAATGGTGGATGACTTGGCAATTAGTCGCTCTTCTGTAGACATTCATGACTCTATTCCGCCATCTAGAGGCAACACACGAGGCACACAGCACTGAGTGACTCCGCTCACTGGACGCCTCAAAATCTCTTCATCCATCCAGCCATTTTCCAATAAGCTTTTCCTTGCGGGGGGCGCGGCCGTGCTAGAACCCATCCCGTTTGACTTCGGGCAATAGGCGGGATACACTCAGAACTGATTGATAGCCCCCCCCCCCTCCCTTGAGACAGTCATTGATCTCTTCCGCCATCTAGAGGCAAGACGCGCACACGATTTTTTTTTGTGAACCAGTTTGGATGGAAAGCTTCAAAGATTCAGGTTTTATCTGCCCATCACTCGTGGCAGGTAGCTGTGTGCTGACCACGACTTGTGTTTGCATGTGTTATTTGTGAATACAGCCACATCTCTGTTTATAAGGTGTGTGCACTTGTGGAAACGTGTTATCTCACTTGTTCGTCTTCGCTTCTCCTCTCATTTTTTTTCAATTGAGTTGCACAGGTTACAGATAAATAGTGGATTTTGGGGGGTTTGATTTACCTTCGGTCTCATTTTTTTTTCAAGATAAGATAAGAAAACCTTGATTTGTCTCACAATGGAGAAATTCCCAATTTACAGCAGCAAAATTATGAAAGGGAGAAAGTAGAATACAAGTATATAAATAAATATAAATATAAAATATAAATATACGCATATTAAAATGGGTGAGTGGTTTTTTGTACACAACAAAAACCTGCCAATTTAACTACAGTTTTCCTAAATTTACTTCGTTGTTGTATTGACTGTATTGATTGAGAGAGAAAACCCCCCAAAATAAACGGATTTATCTTGATAGTATGAAGAAATTGGGCGATGGGTGCCTTTTGTGGGGGAGCTTCATTGAGCACCTGTCCCCTAAAATATCTGTGCACCTGCCCGCATTTCAGTTCGTACTTTTTTTTTACCTTAAAGTTGTTGAAGCAGTACTTTTGCTTTTACACCAGTATATTTACTTACTACTTAAGTACAATGTGTCTACTTTTACCACTACTTGATAAAGAAGAATGAAACTGAAAAATTAACTTCGAAATTCATGAAAAAAAATCTAATGGATGGGGGTATTTTTGTACGGATTACAGTACATGATAGAATTTTTTTTTTCTTTAACTCCTTGATGCATCGTGCATGTATATTGTTGAGAACGTTGTCATCTTTTATCTTGGGACTCGACGTTAAACCCGCAGCCCTTTTGTTGTTGTTCTCACGCTAACATGCGAGATCCGCAGAGCCGACTCGACTGCATTCCGCCCAGACTTCCCCTCCGCCAGCGGCCTGCTTGCTTTGAGATGAGTACAAGATGTCGGTGTCGGGGCTGAAGGCCGAATTGAAGTTTCTCGAGTCAATCTTTGACCCAAACCACGAAAGATTTCGAATCATAGACTGGAAACCCGACGAACTCAGTTGCCAGTTTAACGTAACAGGAGAGAAGCTGCTGATCATTCACTGCAACATCACGGTGGGTCCTCGGGGCCAGCTCTGCCTGCGTATGAAGCTAGCCCAACACAAGACTTGTCACTCAGCACACACTTTGTTTCGTGCTCTGGGTTCCGCGGGCTCAACCCGACCTAGTGGACTGTTCTCCGCTGTTCTGACCTCGGCGACTGTGTTCCTTTCAACCGCAACAAGGCTCTATAGTCGTGAAATTAACTTTCAGGAAGCGTCCAGTGAAACGACGCTGCAGTAGCTTTTTGCTAATTCGCTCAGACTGAAAGTAACGCGAAGGCTAGCTTTCCTTGTTAGCCCAAATATTCGCTTTACTCTTGCCACCACTTTTGACCGCAAAGCCTCGCAGTTAACTTTATCACAGCATCGTCCTTTAATCCACGGCGCGAGCTGATTCATTTGCGCGACATCACAGACGTTTACCTGTCGTAGCAGTCAAAACACTGTCCCCAATGTACAAGCATCGGCGTTGTATATCATATTTACACGAATTAACCCTATTTAGGGTCTTTCAGCTATTGTACGGACTGTCCAGGCCAATGCATATTTTTGTAAGTAACGCAGGCTGTTGGCTGCCCCTCTCTGTCATTTGGACATTCATAATATATTGAGAATAAGGTTTTTTGGATATCACGTGTTTGTATCACTGAACAATGTCAGTGAAGGGATTCGATGAGTTGATGACATCTGTTGAATCTCTGCCTATTAGTCTCGGTGAATCTGTAGATCTAATCTTAAAATACCTAGTGATAGTTTCAGTTAGGTTACTTGATTGGTTGCCACCAGGAATAAGTTGTCACTGAGGCAGGAAAGAAGCCATACATGATGTCATACAACAAGAAAAAGGAGGGATGGAAATTGGAAAGACCTCTCGAGTCAAGATCGCCATGAATTAATTGCCTTTGAGACTTCCCCACTTCACTCAAAAAGTTCTCCATTGAACTTGGTCTTCTTTGTATTATATAGATGTTTGTCTGTCATAAATGTTTTATAAACTAACTACAACCATCCAGCGTGCTTGCAGACAGCAAAATAGGTGAGTTTGCTGACAAAGTGGACATTTTTGGCTAATGTTAGCATTTAATGAGCACCAGGTTAACCATAGTTTAGCAACATAATTTTGCAAGCTGTCTGTGTGCTTTGAAGTTTATTTTGGGTTTCTCAGAGCCTTTTAAATCAAGTGATATTTTACTTTAACAGTGTGGATATGTTAAGCTTGACAACACCCAACTGCACATATAATATGATTACAAAATGTATGTTTGAATATTTAATATGCAGTGAACCACTCTCTCAGCCTTGATTGGAAAAAAAAGTGTAGACAGAAATTTCAAGGACACATCCAAAATGTTCAAGATGATCTTGACAATAGACTAAGCATGACCAAAAGGACTAGTTTTATCATATCACTTGTTTTGACAATTTTAAGTTGAACACGGTTTCTCACGATTCATCAATATTAAAATGATTAATTAATTTGATAGTCGATTAGTTGTTGATTAATTGACCAATAGTTGCACCTCTAATCCCGTTGCAAGTAGCCATTAAAAGATGTTTGCTCATAAAGGAATGCCATGGTTACCAAAGATATTCATACGGGGAAAGATGAACGAATACATGTTCTGATCTCCGATTTCTTTTTTTATTAACCGCTGTCTCCAGGTTCAGTATCAAAATGACCTCAACTTTCAAAATGGTTGAATGTTGAAACAGCAGAAACCAATAATCGTCATTTTCCCTTATCAATAATCATGATAACCTGCTCCCAAGTCAAACTCATACGAACACCGTTAGTTACTATGTCAATTCTTCTAATATGTATACGAAAATTTGGACATGGTACGCCACCTCGGAATCATGCGGCTGACTTTGTGGTGTACATTCCTTTAATATGCTTGAGTTAGAGATGCTCGCGCTAACCACATCATAGATCATGATGACGAGGCGCTGCATTCCTTAATACAGGATTTTTAAAAATTAAAGAATGCCGTCATGGAGAAAAAAACGGTCTTTATCTGTTATCTTGTCAGCTGTTTTAACACACTAGCTTCCTTTGTTGCAGGAGTCTTACCCCTCAACGTCCCCAATATGGTTTGTCGACTCCGATGATCCGAGTCTGGCGGAAGTGTTGGAGCGCTTGGAGGATGTGAGAAAAGGAAACACGTTGGTAAATCTGCTCATGACTCTACCTGCTCAAAATATTGCTCCTGAGCGGGGAAATTGTGAACCTAAAAGTTCTTTTCTGTGTAGCTTCTTCAGCAGTTGAAGCGTCTCATTTGTGACCTGTGTCGACTTTACAACCTGCCTCAGCATCCCGATGTCGAAATGCTCGACCAGCCTCTGCCTGCTGGGCCCATTCTCCAGGAGAGAAAGGTAAGTACTAAATGTGAGATATTTTACTGTGCTGAAACTATCCCCGCTCTTGTAACAATGTTGCACAACATTACAGCATGGACCTTCTGATGAGGTGACGTCAGAGGAGGACGAGGAGGAAGAAATGGGAGAGGTGCATTAAGGGAAATTGTCAACGTTTCCAGTTTTATTAACCCTTGTACCTAAACACCACTGATCCACTGTGGCAGCAGGACATTGACCTGGACCAAGACTTGGACCATTACGACATGAAAGAAGAAGAGCCGGTGGATGGCAAAAAGTCCGAAGATGACGGGATTGAAAAAGAACACCTGGCTATTTTGGAGAAGATCCGTAAAAATCAGAGACAAGACCACTTGAATGTAGGTGTTCATTTTTCTGTTAGTGTTTTCTAATTTGCATAAACCCCACCCCTGTTTCCCTCTATGACGCATCTTAGCCAATGTGTGAAAATGATTATTACTGATTTTCTAAATGATTAGTTTCATTATGTTGTGCATCTCAGGTAATTTTATTCATTTTTTGGGGGTGGGGTTAAATTTGTAGTCCCCAAAAGCTGATCCCTCATTATTTGTGCATACGCATTTGTTGGCAATGTGTTGCTTCCATGATGAGGCAAAACAGTTAAAACTCTTTTCCACGAGCCAGGAAGGACGAGCATCCTTGCTCCTTTTAACTACAACAGAAACGGGGGTAGTTCGCGTTCCTACTGCATTTGTATTCCAAACGCAAACATCGTCATTGAATCTTAACGCATAAATCATATGAACATACAAAGATTATGCAATACTCAAAGTCATTGCATTCCGCCGTGACCGCATGAACCGCCGAAGGCATGAGAACGCACCGCCGAAGTAGCAAACTTGCTGTCACTCTTTAACATTCTGTTGGCTACTTGCTGTTTGTGTTGTGCCTCCGCTTTACGCCAGCCAACAAAATAAAGGTCGTATCGCTTTCAAAGTGGCAATGAAATAAAGGGCCTATCTTTAACGGACACTAAACAGCGGAACGGCAACACATGACACATCAATCACTTCAAAGTTGCAGAGACAGTCAAAGGGCAGAACAGCGATAACAGTCAGGGTGATTTTGTCCCCACTGTGGATGCCGTTTTTAAAGTATAGCCAATGAATTTAAAAATTGACATTTGCAGGCAACGTATGAGAGGATAAAGTGAATGTGGTCAGAAGTGGAAATTTGTGAATCGAAGATGGTACTGACTGCAAAGGGAGATTCTCGTTAACAATATGGTGGCTAAAACATTTTCATGAGTTG